GAGCTACGGTGGAGCTTGCTCAACCACTGCCCCCCTGGATCTTGCCTTGAAGTGTTTTATAGGAACTGAGGAGAGCTGCTCATGGAGTGTCTCACTGCAGGGACTTGGCTAAAAAAATGGCTGAGAGGAAGCCTGGGGAGCTGACGGTGGCTGAATGGTGCTGGCCAGTGTGTTGAGTAGTAACTTAGTGTTGGCAAAGCCACAGCAGCTGTGTAACAGTGGAATGAGGAAGCAAAACCCCTTCTCCCGACTGTCTTCCAGGACTCTGTGAGCAAAGCGTGCCCGCTTACTGAGTGAAGAATGCCCGCTTGCTGAGCAAAGCATGCCCGCTTGCTGGAAAACTCCTTGCCATCTGGCAAAGAGAAACTATTTGAGGGCAGATCTGTTTTCACACAGTAGTCAAGTGGGTGAATGGGAGGGGCGACGGCACCGGATGGGTCATAGGCACAGTGTACCTCATGAGATTCAGCTTCCAGAGAAGTCTCTTGAGCATATTCAGACTCCCCAGTAACAACACAGATCACCGTGTTTACCCGAGAACACAAACTCCGGACAAGCAAAGAGCTCTTTGCCACAAACGAGCAAACACGGTTCCCAAGTCATGTGCCGACCACTGCTTGTAGTAATTGCTTTTTTCTTTTCCTTGCTTTGTTGAGCTAGTGTTTCCCCGGGTGGCTCTGGCTGCCCTGGAACTCTCTCTGTATTCCAGGCTGGCCTTGAACTCACAGAGATCCACCCGCCTCTGCCTCCCTGAGTGCTGGGATCAAAGTCGGGTACCACTACCACCCTCTTTTCTTATGTTTTCTCTTAGCCACACTGAGTGGCTGGTCTAGCTAGACTAAGTGTAAAATCAGCTTCCGAAACTCTGTGGGCAAGTAAAATTGTGGAGAGAGTGATATATGTACACACACCACAGAACACACACTACACACACACACACACACACACACACACACCACAGAACACACACCACACACACACACACACACCACAGAACACACACCACACACACACACACACACCACAGAACACACACCACACACACACACACACACCACAGAACACACACCACACACACACACACACACCACAGAACACACACCACACACACACACACACCACAGAACACACACTACACACACACACACACACACACACCACAGAACACACACTACACACACACACACACACTACACACACACCACAGAACACACACTACACACACACACACACTACACACACACACACCACAGAACACACACCACACACACACACACACACACTACACACACACCACAGAACACACACTACACACTACACACACACACACCACAGAACACACACTACACACTACACACACACACACCACAGAACACACACTACACACACAGACACACACCACAGAACACACACTACACACACAGACACACACCACAGAACACACACTACACACACAGACACACACACACCACAGAACACACACTACACACACACACAAACCACAGAACACACACTACACACACACAGACACACACACACACACCACAGAACACACACTACACACACTTACACACACACACACCACAAAACACACACTTACACACACACACACCACAGAACACACACTACACACACACACCACAGAACACACACTACACACTACACACACACACACCACAGAACACACACTACACACACACACACACACACACACTACACACACACACACCACAGAACACACACTACACACACACACCACAGAACACACACTACACACACACACACCACAGAACACACACTACACACACACACACCACAGAACACACACTACACACACAGACACACACACACCACAAAACACACACTACACACACACACACCACAGAACACACACTACACACACACACACACACCACAAAACACACACTACACACACAGACACACACCACAGAACACACACTACACACACATACCACAGAACACACACTATACACTACACACACACACCACAGAACACACACTACACACACACACACACCACAGAACACACACTACACACACAGACACACACACACCACAGAACACATACTACACACACACACACACCACAGAACACACACTACACACACAGACACACACACACACACCACAGAACACACACTACACACACAGACACACACACACCACAGAACACACACTACACACACATACCACAGAACACACACTACACACACACACACCACAGAACACACACTACACACACAGACACACACACCACAAAACACACACTTACACATACACACATAGGACACACATACACCACACACACACACACACATACTCTCCACACAGACACACACACCACAGAACACACACTACACACTACACACACACACACCACAGAACACACACTACACACACAGACACACCACAGAACACACACTACACACTACACACACACACCACAGAACACACACTACACACATACACACCACAAAACACACACTTACACATACACACACACACCACAGAACACACACTACACACTACACACACACACACCACAGAACACACACACACACACCACAGAACACACACTACACACACAAACACACACACACACACCACAGAACACACACTACACACACAGACACACACACACACCACAGAACACACACTACACACACAGACACACACACACCACAGAACACACACTACACACACACACACACCACAGAACACACACTACACACACACACACCACAGAACACACACTACACACACACACCACAGAACACACACTACACACACACACACCACAGAACACACACTACACACACACACACCACAGAACACACACTACACACACACACCACAGAACACACACTACACACACACACACCACAGAACACACACTACACACACAGACACACACACACCACAAAACACACACTACACACACACACACCACAGAACACACACTACACACACACACACACCACAAAACACACACTACACACACAGACACACACCACAGAACACACACTACACACACATACCACAGAACACACACTATACACTACACACACACACCACAGAACACACACTACACACACACACACACCACAGAACACACACTACACACACAGACACACACATACCACAGAACACACACTACACACACAGACACACACACACCACAGAACACATACTACACACACACACACCACAGAACACACACTACACACACAGACACACACACACACACCACAGAACACACACTACACACACAGACACACACACACCACAGAACACACACTACACACACAAACACACACACACCACAGAACACACACTACACACACATACCACAGAACACACACTATACACACACACACCACAGAACACACACTACACACACACACATACCACAGAACACACACTACACACACAGACACACACACACCACAGAACACACACTACACACACACACACACCACAGAACACACACTACACACACAGACACACACACCACAAAACACACACTTACACATACACACATAGGACACACATACACCACACACACACACACACATACTCTCCACACAGACACACACACCACAGAACACACACTACACACTACACACACACACACCACAGAACACACACTACACACACAGACACACCACAGAACACACACTACACACTACACACACACACCACAGAACACACACTACACATATACATACCACAGAACACACACTACACACTACACACACACCACAGAACACATACTACACACACAGACACACACACACACCACAGAACACACACTACACACACAGACACACACACACACACACCACAGAACACACACTACACACACACACACCACAAAACACACACTTACACATACACACATAGGACACACATACACCACACACACACACACACACACTCCACACAGACACACACAGTACACACACACACACACACCACACAGATACACACAAGCACACATACAATACATACACACAGACACATACATACCACACACAGACACACAGAAACACATACACACCACTGGGTATGTATGTCTGTTTATGTAACTACAAAAAGCCAGTCATCTGTGAAGTATGTATGTATGCATTTGAACACCAAATAAAAAGATATTTTAGTTATTTGAAATACGGAGTTGTTGATTAAGTAATTTGCCTAGAAGTAAGTGCATCTAAATTTTTGACTTAAATATTTTAAGATTCTGAAAAGCCCGGTGTTTTTCTATTTTGAGTCTAAACAAGAACATTGTGATACCCCCTTGTTTTCGGGGTTGGTTGAGGTGGTGTGGGAATGTAAATCAGTCAAGAGAAATTGGTAAGAATAGGCAGCAGAACTCTCAAGTATGACGACGGCTGCTTAATTCAGGTGCCTAGGAACCATGTGCAGCTGAGTCTCCCTGGAGAGAGACACATGTGTGGGTTCTTCCTCTGAGGATCTGCACTGTCCAGGGTGCATTTGCTTTTTTCGTCAGTAAAATGTTCAGTTTTTCACTGACTTTCCCTACTATTGCCAGTTGAAATGGCCGTGGTTTGTCAAGTTTCTAGAAATTTAGACCAAATTTCTCTTTAATTGTAGGCAGAAAATTGTTTTAGGTTGTCAATCCAGTCTCCAATTTGTAAACTGCTACGTTACATTGTTATTTTTAAAGTTATATATACTGATTTTTGTGAGCATTGATTGGAGTTTGCTTGCATGCCTGTCTGTCTGTGTAAGTGTGTCAGATCCCCTGGAACTGGAGTTTCACAGAGAGTTGTGAGCTGCTATATGGGTGCTGGGAATTGAACTTAGGACCTCTGGAAGAGCAGTCAATGCTCCTAACCACCGATCCACCTCTCCAGCTTCCTCTGTCTGAATCTTTTGACCTCATGATTTGAATTTCCTCATACTGCACGTCTTGATGCTGCCCTAAGGTGACTGTTTTCATGACTTTTCTTTTCTAGGTTAACAGAACCTTCTGGATATTTAACAGATGGCCCAATTAACTATAAATATAAAACTAAGTGTACATGGCTAATTGAAGGCTAGTAAGTATACAATTTGAGTTAAATAATTTTATTCTGAGATGTTAAACAAAGTTGAAGCATTAGGTAAAGTGACTAGCTATATATTTTAATTCCTTGCTTATTATTGGAACACATGCATCACTGTATGAAGTTTAAAAATGTAAATCATAGTATTTTTCATTTGTAGTATAATAGATGAATATGTATTTTGTTTTTGAGTCACATTATTGCAGGACTAAGCACATCAGGCCTTGTGGCTTTGTGAAAACATCTTGTTAGCTTTACAAATGCTGTAGGAAGTGTAAATATTCTGTGCTTGGCTACGCCACTGGCTAATACTTTTCAGTATTTTAGTTCTGATGGTCACTTAAAAATTTTTAATTGTGCTAAGAATCTTTTTACAATGTTTTTATAACATTTACTGGAAGAATTAGTTGTTTGCTTTTGGGTACTTTTCACAATGGGCAAGCTTTAGCTTTTTGAACTTACTATGAGTAGATCATAAATGAATTGGTAGGTATTCTTTGGTACTATTTTATGGCTTTTAGAATACATTGGAAAAGCCATGCTTTTTGTATTACTTTAAAAGTCTTTTAAAACCACACCAGCTGTTATCTGTAGTCTAACTTCTTCATAGTGTCATAGTGTATCAGTAATTTGAGAACCTTACTGAAAGAACCTAATGCCTGTACTTAAAGGCTCTTTACCTCTAGAATAGCTGCTTCTCAGTGTTGAAACTTTGTAACCAACTTTATTCAAGGACAACTGGCTGTGATAGAATGCATCCGTGCTAGTATGTAATTTATTAAGGTTTCAGTAAAAAAAAAAAAAATGTACATAAGAAAAATATCTAACTTCTGCCTTATCAATCTATGATGTCTGCCTTTTTTTTTGAAACCAGTGTCATGATAGTACATCAGTTTTCTTCTGGTGATTTACCAATCTGTAGAAAAAGTATCTGTAAATAGATTTTTAATAAATTACTAAGTCTAATTTTAAAAATACTATGTTTTATACATTTTATGTGTACTTAAGGATACTCTGTTTGTTCTTCCAGTCCAAATGCAGTGTTGAGATTAAGATTCAATCATTTTGCTACTGAGTGCAGCTGGGATCACATGTATGTTTATGATGGAGATTCGATCTATGCACCCCTGGTGGCTGTGCTTAGGTGAGTGATTATGCTTGCCCGATGAACTTATTGACAGCCATAGGGAAGTAAATAACTATGATTTGTTTGTTTGAAGTCTGCCCTACTGATCTGTATGCAAGTTTATAATGATTGCCGATGGCTGGATTTCACAGATTATTATAATACTCTGTGTACTATGACTGCCAGCTGAAGGTATACACTCTAGTATAAATAATGCTTAGATGAATAATCTCTATACTATAGGAACTATAGACCAATTTTGTAAATACTCTTTTTCTGTGTTTAGTTTATTCCTTTACTTGGTTTGAATATGTTTTCATAAATATCTGTTTAGAGAGATTTGGGTGATTTCATACTGACATAAACAAGTATATGAGTTTTTTATAATTCTCTTTTTGTTGTAGTGAACGGAGGAAATTCAAGTTCTGAAAACCAGGATTAAATTATACTCGATGTTAGCATTTAATAAATTAGGTGTTTCCACTAGGTTTCAAAAATTTGGAAATTTGGGTTACCTCATAACATTTTGAAAACAGTCAAATAATCAGGACATTAATGTTGAAATCATAGCGTTTTAGTTTTATTAAAACTTTTTAATAAGACATTATTAGACAGCTGTGAGTAGGAGGAAAATATATGGGTTACAGAAAAAGTATTAACATATAATGCAGATTTTGTATACAAGTTATCTAATATGACTATGAACAAATTGCTTATTACCTTATTCTTAATTTTGTTACACAGTATCTCTCATATTCTGCCAATGTTGAAAATCTAAGTGTAGATGAAAGATTGTTGTTCCTACAAGTATTTTTATTTAAAATATTCTCTTTGCTGTCATGTAAATATTTTATTTCATCAACAATTTGAAATTCTGTTGGATAAACAAACATTTTAGGGCTGGTATTTCCATTTCATTTTATGAGTCTATGATTTATGACTATTTTAGAGTGAATCTGTAATAGGTAGTTTAGGTATTTATTCTGTGATATTGCTGGAAATACTTTTTGAAGTGCTTAGAAGATTGTGTGTGTGTGTGTGTGGTGTAGTGTGTGTGAGTGTGTGTGTGGTGTGTGTGTATGTGTGTGAGTGTGTGTGTGTGTGTGGTGTGTGGTGTGTGTGAGTGTGTGTGGTGTGTGTGTGTATGTGTGTGAGTGTGTGTGTATGTGAGTGTGTGTATGTGTGTGAGTGTGTGTGTGGTGTGTGTGTGTGTGTGTGTGTGTGTGTGTGTGTGTATGTGTGTGCACACACATGAACCCATGCATGTGGAGGTCAGAAGAGAGCTGGAACCCTGGGAGCGTGCTACCGTCAGCCCTCTGACCTGGGATCTGGGAACCGAGCTGGGTTCTGGTCCTCTCAAGAGAAACAAGCACTCTCAGCCACTGAAACCACTGTACCCTTTAGACCCTCCAGTCTGAGTGTTTGAACATTATAAAAAGTAAAGTTAGAAATAGTCGTTTAAAGCCACTCGATAAAAATGTAGTAGACCCTCGAAAATAATTATGATGTAAGAAAATTTATTATGACAATTAGATAAATTCTGGCTTTGCAAACTTATTTTTGACCAAACGGCATTTGTGATCATTTCATTGTTTCCATTGAGTTGTTGACTGGCTGTTATTTAGGTACATCTCTGTTTTCAGTCCTCTGGTGACTTTACACTCATTAACACCTCTTTATCAAACTTTATCCAGTGTTTTCCTGTTACTAAAGAATCTTTCCTGAGATAATTATAGGGTAGGTTTAGCCTGTGAATATGGATGGAGCTGGAACATTGCATTATCAAGCACCCCTCATACCCGTCCTAAGTGAACTGGGCAGTTTTATGCCAGCTCGGCACACTCTGTAGAGTCACCTGAGAAGTGGAGTCTCAGTCGAGAAAACACCTCCACAGGACCAGGCTGCAGGCAAGCCTGTAGGGAACCTTCTTCATTAGTGATTGGCACCGGAGGCCCATCCTTTTGTGAGTCCATCGCCCTGGTTTTCAGCTGTGAAGAGAGATGTGTCCTCCCCTGGGCCTGGGCTCGTTCCTACGAGATAGTTCTGTCAGTATCAGACAGATTGCTTCTGGTTTCTATAGTTGTTTTACTCTGTGGGATGTATTACAGTGTGGCTTGGTCTGAATGGTCTGGTGTGGTGTAGAATAAATGCAAGTCCCCTTTTCACTTACTGCTTTAAAAAAGATTCATTTTTGAGAAAGCTTATGTGTGTGTGGTGTGTGCGTGTGTGTGGTGTGCATGTGTGTGTGGTGTGCGTGTGCACCTGTGCATGCGTGTGCGTGTGTGTGTGTGGTGTGTGCGTGTGTGTGGTGTGCATGTGTGTGCGCACGTGTATGTGTGTGCGTGTGTGCATGTGTGTGTGGTGTGTGCACCTGTGCATGTGTGTGCGTGTGTGTGCGTGTGTGTGGTGTGCATGTGTGTGTGTGTGGTGTGCATGTGTGCATGCATTCATGTATGTATGTGCGCCTGTGCATGCATGTGCGTGTGTGTGTCCTTGTGTGTCTGCCCATGGTTATGTGCATGGAGGCCAGAGAGTCTCACTTCCTGGAGTTGCAGGTGATCTTGAGCCACTTGATGTGGGTGGTGGGAACCAGACTTCTTAACTGCTGAGCCCTCTGTCCAGCAGCCTCATTTATTGCTGTAAACCATTTATAAATGAGCACGAAAACAAACCATTACCAGTCCCAGAGGTTCCCAGCCTTCCATTCTGAGCTCACAGGTGGCCACTGTACCTCCAGGAGGGAGATTTTCCTTCTTCCCTCCCTCCCTCCCTCCCTCCCTCCCTCCCTCCCTCCCTCCCTCCCTCCCTCTTACCCTCCCTCCCTCTCTCCCTCCATTCCTTCCTTTCTTCCTTCCTTCTTCCCTCTGTCCCTCTGTCCTTCCATCCCTTCATCCGTCTGTCCCTCCCTCTCTCCCTCCCTCCATGTTTTTTTTTTTTTTTTGGAAATAACTAACAAACAAACAGCAGCAGCAGCAGCAGGACCTAAGCCTTCCTGTGGCTCTGACATTCTTCATCTCCCCTCTTCTCGGGAGTTGCCTAAGCCTCAGAGGGTGGACAGAGAGTTGTCAGTGTATGTCTCCTCAAGACAAGTTACACAACAGATGTAATCACACAACTGTGAGATGCTCACACACACATGTCTGTAAGACAAAGACCGATGGTGTAGAAATCAAATTCTGCTGAGAATCTTCTTTTAAAAATCATCTGTTCTCTATCCTCAGACCTAGTAGATGCAATAAACCAGGGGTTACTTTTTAAATTTGTCTGTATTTGATAATAAAACATCTTTAGGGTCTCATTTTTCTATCAAATAAGATTTGTTTGAGGGAATTCAGTTTTCAGAGATACCTACATATTACTTTAACTTTGACAAAATTTTCCTTTTGCTACTTGGAGAAAGAAGGACTGTGGATACTTGAAAAAAGCTGGGAACGTCAGCAGCCATGTTGACTGAAATAAGCCGCATGTAGAAGATGTACATCAGTGCTATGTTTTATAATGTTGGGGAGGTTTGACAGTGAGTGGTGTGAGATGACCACCGAGTGATGGACGTGTTCTGTACCTGTGTCCATCCCCATGTGCTCTGTATGGAAATGCTGCTTTGATGAACTTGACTTAAAAAATAATCCACTATTTTGAGTTACATGATTTGTTTCTCAACTTCTCCATCCTGATGCATGTCTTCACACATTTAGCGAGGATAGTTTGGTCTAACTAAATGAGGAATGTAGTTTTCCTATGTGAACGGGTAGGATGGAGGACTATATCACAGCTGGGTTTGTGGCTCACACCTGTAACCGGAGCACTTGAGAGGCGAAGACAGCTGGAACGCCATGAGTTCAAGATCAGCCTGGACTGCAGTGTGAGAGTGTCTCAGAACACCGAAAAAAAATCCAACCAACCACCAACCAACCAAACAACCACCAACCAAAAATCCAATCAACCAACCAACCAACCACTAAACAAACAACCAACCACCAAACAAACAACCAACCACCAACCAAAAATCCAACCAATCAACCAACCACTAAACAAACAACCAACTACCAACCAAAAATCCAACCAACCAACCACTAAACAACCAACCACCAACCAAAAATCCAACCAACCAACCAAAAATCTAACCAACCAACCAATCAACCAAACACTAAACAAACAAGCAACCACCAACCAAAAATCCAACCAACCAACCAACCACTAAACAAACAACCAACCACCAACCAATCAACCAATCAACCAACCAACCACCAACCAACCAACCAACCAACCAACCAACCAACCAACCAACCACCAACCCAAAATCCAACCAACCAACCACTAAACAAACAACCAACCACCAACCAACCAACCACCAAACAAGCAACAGAAATCTCTGGCACTTAGAACTTTCATACATTTATTACCCCGCCCTTCGCCATGTGTTTCATTTTGTGTACTTGGGAATACTTATGTTCTAATATAACATATACCAATAAGCAGAATTTTACAGAAACAAATGCACGTGTTTTAAAAACATCAGATGTCTAGATCGCTGAATTGGAAATAGAGTTTGCATAGATTCTCTGTAAATATGTAACCGTTAAAAGTGTTCCTTCATCAACTTTGTACTCAGTGCAGGGAGAAAGCTCTCCAGCTACTACTGGAATATCAGCATGGCTTAGAGTAAGGGACCAGTGTGGAGCATTGTCACAGCATGGGTAGCAGGACAAACAGGGACTGAAGTGGGGGCACTTCAATCCAATTAGTGTTAGAAGAGGAAGGCCAGGAGGAGGAGGATGGGGAGGAGGAAGGCCAGGAGGAGGAGGATGGGGAGGAGGTATGAGAGTGTGTGTTAGTTTATTATCAGTAGTAGACCCACAGGGGTAGACACTGATACATTTGCTATTATTATCCAGCTAATTCTCCCTTTTCACGTGTGTGCTTTCTGAATTGGATAGCGTTTTTGAGCATATTTTCTGTGTAGAGTCACAAGGATTCCTAAAATTCTCGATTCTCCTCTCCTTTAGTGGCTTGATCGTCCCTGAAGTGAGGGGCAACGAGACAGTGCCTGAGGTTGTCACAACATCTGGCTACGCGCTGCTACACTTCTTTAGCGACGCTGCATATAACCTAACTGGCTTCAACATTTTTTACTCGTAAGTATTTGTTCAGTGTCACCTAGTAAAGCAGCCCTTAACTTGTATGGAAATGTCCTCCATATACCAGGAAACAGGTTGGTGTATTAAATATCACCTTATGGGATCTTTTTCTACATGATGTAAAGTATTAGCAATCCACCACAGATTGCCCTCGGAGTCTGACTCACGGTAATTTTCAAGTCTGGAGGATCGTATAGTTGCAAATTGTGTGGTTGAAAAGTTAATTACAAAACATAAAATTGCTTGGCTAAGTAAATAATTAAGTTACACAGTACGAGAGTTGTTCTGCACACACAGAAGCACATACACGGCATTTCGGGGAGCCCCACACTTCTGTTTGCATTTGAAGAGTTTGCATTTGAAGGAGTTAGGGCCTGTCAGTTCCTCTGTCCCAGAGACATCCTAGGCGCTGTGGCTACGCTGTGGGTTTTAATCTCCTTTACAGCAGGTTTGCTATGGCCGCATTTGATTTTCTCATGGTACATGTAGAGAAGTTGAGGCATAGGAGGTAAACTATGTGGCTGCAACTCCTTTTTCTCCTAACATAATAAAATCAATGCTCACTGAAAATCTGTTGTGTCTCTGACACTTTGTACAAAACTTTGTGCCTGCAGAACGCTCTGAGCAAAATCACTGGCACTCCATAAAGGTGGGTGGCGTCCGATAGTCCATCTGGGCTAAGGACTTTCATCATAGCTTGTCTTAGACCTGTTTAAACTGTTCATATAGTCTTCTGATGGGGGATGTCCTTCTGTATATGTGTTTCTCTTATTGGCTGATCAATAAAAACACTGATTGGCCAGTATCCAGGCAGGAAGGATAAATGCAGCTACCAGACAAGGAGAATGTGGGGGAGAGGAAGGCAGAGAGAATCCGCCGGAGAAAGATGCCGTGTAGCTGTTGAGAAGATAGGGCGCCGGACATTCTTCAGTAGGTAGGATAAGACCACGTAGAAATACATAGATTAGTGGTTATGGGTTAATGATCAAGAGAGCTAGCCAGTAAGAAGCCCGAGCCATCAGCTAAACAGTTTAAACTTAATATAAGTCTCTGTGTGTTAATTTGGGGATAAACGGCTGTGGGACCAGGCGGACAGTCTTCATTTTGATAGGTCTCCAGGAGTTTATCATTCTCCCAGATCTCCAGTTATTGGAATATAGGTTTCCAGATGTGCTTCCGTGATCTTCTGAGCATCATTGCTGTCAATTTTCAGCTCTGATGTTATTGAATTTAGGTCTTCTCTCTTTGTTTGAGGAACTCATTGTATTTTATTTATTCTTTATGTTGTTCATTTCTGTTTTATTAATTTCTTCCTTGATACTTATTATTTTTTTTCAATCTACTAATTTTGGTTTTGGTCTGTTTTTTGTTTTTCTAAGACTTGAAGTCCCATTATTAAATTTTTTTTGTTTTTTGTTTGTTTTTGTTTTCTTGTTTTTTAATTTGAGATTGCTATGATTTTAATGAATGGTATTTGCAACCATTTATCTCTGATAATTGCTTTCATTTTAATACATAGGTTCGGGTTTATTGGGTTTTCATTTTGATTTGATTGTAGGGATTTTAAAATTCATTCTGGAATGTGTTTTCCAGTCTCTATGAATTAGTATATTTTCCCAATCTCCTTTTGGTTTCTATTTATGCCATTGTGATCAAACAGAGTATAAGACATTGCTCCAACTTGCTGGTATTTGCTAAGAGTTTCCTGTGTCCCAGAATGTGTTCCATTTCAGAGAAGTTCCCAGGGCTGCCCAGATGGATGTGTAGACTGCGTGTCTGGGTTAGAATGCCACGTAGATGTCTGTTAAGTCACTTAAATCTGGCAAGTTTTGTTGATTTATTTTTGGTCTGGGTGACCTGTCTGCTGAGTTTGAGGTACAGATGTTACCTACTGTTGTCTCGAGGTCAGTCTGTCTTTACCTCCAACAGAGTTGTCTTGGGAAATACGCTTTGCTTCTTGATAAGTGATACTGTCTGGACGGTATGTACCCGCTCTTATCGCCAGTTCCGGGTGAACTGTCAGGTGTCAGCGCCGCTCACAGTGCAGTTTGGGTGATGGCTGTGGACATCTTTTCTAGTGCAGGCTTAACGACCAGAGTTCTTTTCGCTTCTGTTTTCCACGAAGATAAAGTTTTCTGCCTTGCTCCGGTAGCAAGGGCCATTTTGCTGGGTTGGTAGCTACTGTCTTTATGAGACTGAAACGTGTTTCTCTGTCCTCCGGGCTTGTGCGGTTTCTTGCCAGGAGTCTCTGATTACCTTCTGAGTATGTGGCTTGATCTTTTCTCAGACAACTTTAGTGTCCACCGTTTACTCTGGATTCTCGGGACTGTACCTGCGTTTGATGTAAGAGCTTCTTCTCTGGTCTCGACTGGTGTGCTACATGTCTCCTGTATCTGATGGCCATTTCTTCCCTATATTTGGGAAATTTTCTGCTGTGCTTTTTAACAAGTGTATTCTCTGTGCTCCTAGTTTGTACTTTTATGCCCATGATTTGGAAGTTTGGTTTTAAAGTGGTGTCCTATATGTTATGCATGTTTGATGCTATCTACTTTACCTTTAAGTCCTGGTATTCTGGTATTCCATCTGATCTGTTCATTGGCAAGTCTTTCCAAAATTTCTTTTCATTCGGCTTATTGAGCTCTTCATTCTGCAATCTGTGTTTCCAATACTTCTATCTTCTTGTTGAAGTCTTATATTGGCTTCATCATTGTATCCAGGCATCAGGAGCTTCTAAACGAACCCAGAAGTTTGTGTTCCCTTTGATTTTGTTCAACATATGTGTTTCTATTTATTAAAATGTTTATGTGTGGGCGTTTTGTCTGAGTGCATGTTTGTGTATCCCATGCATGCTTTGTGCTTATAGGAGCCAGAAGACATTGAATCCCCTAGAACTAGAGACACACATAGTTCTGAGCTGTTATGGAGCCGCTGGATATTGAACCTGGGTCCCTGGGAAGAAGAGCCATGAACTATCTCCCTAGCCTCTTAACATATTTGTTTTCAGGGAATGAGAGTTTCTCTCAGGTGCTTTTAGAGGAACAGCCACAGAATAACCTGTCAATTTTTTTTTTCTTCACGAAGATGTAAATTTTTCATCAGAAAAAATTTCACCCGGAATAAGGTCTTTAAAATACCCTTGAATCACCAACTTATTGTAGGATTTCTTTATATGATAATGTATCCAGACACACGCATGCACGCGCGCGCACGCGCGCACACACACACACACACACACACACACACACAGAGTAGAATACAGTCAGTTAAAGGCATTAAACTAAGATGCAATAACCATGTCTTTTTTTGGACCTGTGTCTTCACGTTAGAGCCTCACTATTTTTTGTTTCTTTTTAAGTTTCGGGATTCTGTAGACTTCTCTTTTTCTTAAAATGTATATTCAAAATGTTTCTTTAAGGCTTTATAGACATCAAGCTTGAGACTGCACAGAGGCTTCAGAGGTAGAACCTGTAGTCCTTGCACGTTGGAGTTGGGGGCAAAAATACGATTATTGGATGAACTAAGACGCATGGGGGGGAAGGGAGGGGTCGAGCTCATCCTTGGGAGGCCTAGGCGGGAGACCAGCCTCAGCGACAGCCTGTCTCTAAAAATGGAGCACACAACAGCGAACAAAGCCACTTTGCAAAATTGTGTTAAACTAATAAACACGAATGAAAATATGAAAATTAACTTCACAAAAAAATCACTCGATTCATTTGTAATTGTCTCGAGTTTGGACGTGTGAATGATGTTGGAGCCTGTGGCTTGTGTTTTGCAGAATCAATTCTTGTCCTAACAACTGTTCTGGCCATGGAAAGTGTACAGCCCGTGTGCCTGTTGCAAGTCAAGTGTATTGCGAATGTGATAAATACTGGAAAGGGGAAGCGTGCGACATCCCTTACTGTAAAGCCAACTGCGGCAGCCCAGACCATGGCTACTGCGACCTGACTGGAGAAAAACTCTGTGTTTGCAACAACAGTTGGCAGGGTAAGTTGTTTGGGAACTCTGCGTTCATTCGCTTGCGAACCCAAGTCTCGCTTTTCATTTCCTTTTGGTATGTATGACAGTTAACTTCTTAGTAGTCTGCATTCTCACGAATATGTACCAGTCTTTCTCTGCTCTACCAGCCGGGTCCCAAATAACGGAGACTTATTATTAATCCATGTTCTACCATGTGGCTTTACCTCTCTTGCATTCTGTGTATAACTTGTTCTGTGTCTCTCTGGCCTCTCTGTCTCCCTTCTTCTCAGAGTTCTGTCTCTCTCTGAAAGTCCTGCCTATACATCCTGCCTAGTTGTTGACTATTTAGCTCTTTATTAAACCAATCAGAAGGCCCCCCTGCAAAGAGACATCTTCACAGTGTGTAAAAAGACTATTCCACAACAACAAACAGGATTGGTTAAGACTCGTCTGCATGCTGTTTTAGAGATTAAATGAAGTTGTACACTAAATTTAAAATTATGACCTTCTTCCAGAGCTTAGATGACTTCACTGGATTTAATATGCGGTGTATTCAAATTCACTTCATAAAGGGTAGCAACATATTTTGAAAATAAATGATGTCTCACAGGCACAGCATCATTTTAAATGTATTTCTTAGGAAAGACTGACCTCTTGTGGCTATTTTAAAAATAACATTAAACTATTTCAGTAAGTAAAAGTTTATTTTGCTGTTTTAAAAGTCAAATTCCCAGTAAAGCATTATAAAATCTCCCGTCTGTGATACGAGATGTTTTCCTCCATCTTGGTCTCAGAGCCACATCAGCTCCAAATAACACACAGAGACACTGTATCAGGTATAAAGCTGTTGGCCAGTTACTAGCATTTCTTACTGGCTAACTCTGTCTTAAATATTAACCCATTTCTATTAATCTAAGTGTTTCCACGTGCTCTTATCTTGTCAGAGAGAGGGTCCAGACCTCTTCCCTCAAGTCCCTAAATCTTGAATCTCCTCCACTACATCTTCCAGAATAACATCTTCCATTATCTCCTCTTTTCTGTCTAAAATAAAAAGTGTTTTAACTTTAACATAGTAAAATATATAACAAAACAGTTATCAAATAACAACCACAATTAACAATATTTAGTTCATTAACATTTAGAAAGATTTAAAGATTCCATCATCTATCCTATCTTTGTTTAAAGTCTTATATGTAACTTATCTTTAATCCTAACTAAGGAAAACTATAACCATAACTGTCTGTCTTCAACTCCTTCAAAGACCACAGAAGGATAGTATATAAACTCTAGAAATGACAGAGACATCTCACTACCTGGTCAGTTACCCGAAGTTCTTCTGTAATGTTCCATCTTCAGCCCATAGGCCATGGTGTGTCAGGCAGACTCCTCAGAAAAGCAATAAACTTTAAACTGTCCATCTGTATTGGCAGTTTGCCAGTCACTTTTCTCTGTGTCCTGCAGACTGTCTGGCAGACTCTTCCATGAAGCAGGAACCCTGACCCTAAACCGTTTTAAATGCCATATTCTGTAGGTCTTTGAAAGGTTTGAAGAATATCCATCTCAAATACATCTCTGTTTAACTAGCAATCTTAACTAACATAAGTATAAGTTTTGACTATTATAGGTAACTATAGTCTGTACTAAATTATACATTGTATTTTTTAAATGAGCTATATAAACACAATATATAAACAAGTAGAAATGTATATATACATATCAGAAAATTGACCTTAAATTGTATCAATAAATGAAAATCCATTCCAAAACAAAGTATTTATTTCTATACCATAATCCCCTTTTCCGTTTAAAAAGAGATTGGTTGTGATCATTAACCATTTATAACCAACCACATTTAAATGAAAACAAACATTCATAAACAATATTTGGGAATTTGGGCATCATTCTTTCCAAACTGCTTTCTGTTGGTAGGGTGCGCTGCCATGGGGATCCTAAGAAGATGCAGAAATCCTGGCTGTAATGGTCTGCAAGGCTGCAAAACAGCCAGCTGTTTTGAATGTTGGATCACCTGGGACACTGTTCAGAGGGTCTTGCTTGATCAAACCACGTTAGTGTGGAAGGAATCCATAGCTTTTCATTTTCTGTGGAAACAAAAATAGAAATTATTTTCCCCAGTCCTTAAACTTAAATTTTGAAGTCAAGCCATTTTTAGAAATATATAAATTGGATTAATTCAGCAGTATTGATAATCAAGTGTATTGTAGCAATTGTCGTTCCTTCCTTAGCAATTCAAAGCAACACAGTAGCATACAGAATGCAGACTGTGTATTTCCCATGGCTTTTTTATTACTCTACTTCTTTTACTTCTGTTTTTTCAATTATTGAGACGGGGTTTCTCTGTGTAACTGGCTGCCCAGGAATTCACTTTGAAATTGCAGAGATCTGCTTGCCTCTGCCTCCCGAGTGCTGAAATTAAAGGTGTGCGCCACCACACCCAGCTACTCTCTATTTTTTTTAACTACTTTATCCTGTTTATTTTTCTCTCGAAAGCCTACATATATTTTAAAACACACTGTAAACCTTTAGAGGTTTTTCTTTATCTGAATCTGTCTTTACTGCAAATCTTTATCTTTTTCTGGCCACGAGACTTTTACCTGCTAACTAACAACATTGCTAAAGTTAAAGTGGCGGGCACAGCTGTTTTAACCACTGTCTATCCAAGATGGCGGGGGTATGTTTATCGCCAGAACTGAGAGCTGTGCTCACCACCTTGATCTGCGCTGCCATCCAGCAGCATGCTGCTGGCTTGGAGATGTGGTCACTGCCATTGCCAGCTCTCGTACACACCATTCACTTGTTAGCAGGGTTTGCTGCTTATGCCAAGTCAGGAAATCTCCGTTAAAGGAGACAATCTCTGCTTGTCTCTAGCAAAACAGAGCCCAACCAATAAACATGCTGCTACCAAGAAGACTTGTTTGCCTCTGTTATTTCGTTTTTAAAGTCACCTTTTAAGCTTTTGTCAAGTTTTAAGTATAAGTTCTTATTCCCACATTGCAGGTACCATTTTGTTACAAGCTGTTTTCCCACCAGCCTGGTCCCAGAGCCACATCAACCCCAAATAATACACAGAGACGCTGAATTAGATATAAGGCTGTTGGCCTTTTACTAGCTTTTCTTAATGGGTAGCCCTGTCTTAAATATTAACCCATTTCTATCAATCTAAGTGTTTCCACATAGTCTTATCTTACTGGAGAGAGGGTCCGGACCTCTTCCCTCAAGTCTCTACCTCTTGACTCTCTTACTATATCTCCCAGAATCCTCCTTGTTTCCTAGTCCCGCCTATCTTGCCTTCCTATTGGCCAACAGTGCTTTATTCATTTTTACAGAATGACATCTCCCATCATGTCTGTCATTCAGGACATTAAACCACACTGGGGAGTTTGAGTTTCTTTAGTATTTGTGTATGTAGTCATGTATTTCTCATTGTTGAGTTGAACTAAGGGATGAGTATAATATCAGTGATTATCTGATCAAATCTACTCTGCTGATGACATTTGCAGAGAGGATCAAGTCTACTTTGCTGATGACATTTGCAGAGAGGCTTCCTTTGTGATGATGTATGACTTTTTGACAGAGGGAACTTTGACTCCCACATTACATAACTCAGAGAATCACTGAGCATGTGTTCATACAATAGAGGTTAGCCCTACATCAGCAGCTCTCTCTCACCCAAGAACTGCACACATACACACTATACCAGTGACTTCTGGTAACAAGGATTTTATTCGTGATTATCTGTTATTTACAGTTATGGCAGGAGATCATTAGTGATAGAACTGTATTTTTAAGTGGTTAGTCATTTCCAAATTTTGTGTCCTCAGGAATTGATTTAATGCTTTTTTCCACTTAAAATTTGAAACTAAAATATTTTCACTTTCTATATTGATTGTTGTATATAAATAATAGCTTAGTAAAGCCAAAGAAATCGAAGTGTGGGTTACATACAGTGCTTTCCAAACCGAGTCTTAATGTTGTATCATTTTCTTTTGTTGTGGAATGCATTCTTTTCTTTTTTTTATTTAGAAACAATCTTATTTTACATACCAATTCCCCCCTTCCCTCTCCCATCCTCCCATGCTCCACGCCCACCACCCACTCTCCAAGAATAGTGAGACCTCACCTCGGGGATCATCAAAGTCTGTCACATCATTTGAGGGAGGGCCTAGACCCTCCTCCATGTATCTGGACTTAAGTAGTGTCCCTCCATAGGGAATGGGCTCCCAAAATCCGTTAATGCCGTAGGGATAAATACTGATTCCATTGTCAGAGGTCCCAGAGTCCTGCTAACTAAACCCACGTTCAGAGGGCTTGGTTCACTCCAATGTTGGTTCTCCAGCTTTACGACTGAGGTTTCTGAGCTCGCGCTCACTAAGTCAGGTCAGCTGTCTCTGTGGGTTTCTCCAGCACGGTCCTGACCCCTTCGCTCATCACTCCTCCCTCTCTGCAACTGCATTCCAGGAGTTCAGCTCAGTGCTTAGCTGTGGGTGTCTGCTTCTGCGTCACGAAATCACTCAGTAAACTTCCAGAATCTGATATATCTCAGCACCAGGGAAAGCAGAAGAACCGCAGACATTCCGTCTGTAACACGATCGTTCTTAGAGGGGAAAATCTTACAGCCAGTTCAGTTTATGAGTTCATGAGCAACTTCCCTGCTCTCACTTAGTGTCATTCTGGTAAATCAACTAGCTTCCCTAGTTGTTGATTTCATTTTCTTTATGAAGATATGTTTACATTTGTGTGGTTCCATATAAAATGATATGGGATGCATTCAGAGTATTTATTCTGTGTGTCTGTCTGCCCATGGATGGAGGGTGCCTTCTGAGATTGCTGTTTATTTTTTGAGATGGGCTAGGGGACATCTCTTACTGAACGGAAGCTCATCTGTTGGACTAGACTGGGAACTCCGAGGATGTGTGCCAGCACACTCAGTTTTGGGTGGATGCTGGTAATCTTCACTTGGAGTTCTTGCTGGCACAGCGGCACTTTAGCTGTCGAGCCATCTCTCTGCCTTGAAATAGTATTCTTAAGGACCAATGCTGTAGTGACATTTCCTTTTTAGTAAGGAGACATTTGGTAGTAGCTCTTGATTTAATAGTCTACGTTTGTCACCAAGTTTAATGCATTTTATTAACCTGTAAAATCAGCATTTGTGAATAACACTTGAATATTAGACACGGTGTTTAGGTATTCTGTGAACATTATGCCAGGCTAATAAAATGGGCCCTTTAGTTTTTTTTTTTTTAACCTAGAATAAATGTTAACCTGTATGCTTTCTTTCCTATCTTATTATTTTAAATGTCTGTGTACATAATCTTGATGGCTATAGTTATCCAGAAATAGGTATTTAAAATGTTAAAGTTATTCCTCTCTGGGTACGTAGTAATGTCAGTGATTTTTAGGGTGAGTGCTACAAGGGTTATGTAAAGAGACAGACGAGACGTGACCCTTCCTTTTCCTCTCCAACTGTAGTGTTATCGCTCTGGAGTAGTTTCTGTATTGGATTCCATGCACAACTTTATTATACCCCCATTGCACTCTCAAATCAGGACAATGGAATCCACGAATTTCTGCTGGGAAAAAAAAAAAAAAAAGCACTTTCATGATAATGACCCATTTACCTCAATTGTAAGAACCATATTTGTAGAAAAGTCTAGGATAATGATTACCAGTCATGCCGTCTGTTGTTTGTAAAGTTATGCATTGCCAGAACAGACTGAGACAGACAACAAGCTTCTAGCGATTGCTTCGATGAGCCTGGTGCTTATGCAGAATATTTTGGATACTGTTGCAAAAGCTTTTCCTCGGGATTAGAAGGCAGTATTCTACAGAGTCCTTTTCTTAACTTGCTTTTCTCATTTTTTGGAGACTTTCACATTTCAGTGTACCCGTTAAATCATAAGTAGAAGAAAGAAAAATAGAGGGTATAGCTAAATGATTTAGGTATGCTAAAATGACACAAGAAAGTCACTGTAAGAATTAGTTTTACTTTTAGCGTGTGGCCAATTATTTAGTTTGGTCAAAACAATATATCCAACATATTAAATATATCATAGATCTAATCTTGGAGATGCTATAAGTTTAATTCTAGGTGGTTGCAGTGAAATAAATATTGCAGTGTAGTAAGTTATGTGTATTTTTCTTGTTTCATAGAACACATGGTTACGTTTATACAAAACAATATAAATGTTCAACTATACTTTTAAATATGCAATAACGTTATCATAAAATGTACAGATCTTAATTAAAAACATTTTACTGCTAGAGAATGATAAACGGTTACTTGACCTGTTACTGAGCCTTTTTCGCTGGTGGAGGGCTGACGGCTCCCATCGTTGGTAGAGGCTGCAGTGGCGGTGGCTGTTTCTTAAGGGGGGTGGTCAGTGACGTTTGCAGGCTCAGTTGTATTTGTGTGGTACTGGCTGATAACGTCGTACCTGGACAGAACTTCTTTCTGCGTTGGTGTTCATCCTCACACACCTGTCTACTAGCCAAGCAAGTGTCCGTCTGCCGCATCTCTGTCGGTGGATTCCCTCTTGGGAATCCTGTTTGTGTTTTGTTTTCTTATCACAAAGAGTGCCTCTGTGGTTAAGTTTTTAATGTGAGATGGCTGTCTCTCAGTCACATTCTCCATGTTGTAGCTTCTGGGCCGTTTGCTGAGCCCACCAGCTTGGCGGTCACTGCCTTTACTGTAGCACTGAAAGCATCCACGGGTCTGGTGACATCTCCTTTAAATTTCTCTCGGGGTTGGCAATATGACCTTCTCCTCTGAGCTCAGATCCTCTCACTGGCATCAGAATGACGATGGCGGCATTCCTCCTGAGCGGTTCTGGTGTCTAGCTTGCCGCAGTCTCCATTAGGTCTTGCTGTTCACTTTTTGGAGCTGGCTTCTTCCCTTACTCCTAGAAAACCTCTGCTCACTGCACAAGTAGCTTCTCTTCCCCCTCCCTCCCTCCCCCCTCCCTCCTTTCCTCCTCCTTCCCCTCCCCCTCCCTCCCTCCTTCCCTCCCCCTTCCTCCCTCCTTTCCCCCTCCCTTTCCTCCTCCTTCCCTCCCCCTCCCCCTCCCTCCCTCCTTCGCTCACAGTAAAGGAGACCTTCCCTGCAAACCCCCAGAACTTGCACTGTTAGCAGAGAGGGCATTTCGCCTCCTCCTCATCTCTGGAGTAGCACACTCTTTCCATGTCCTTTGCATTCCCGACGCGGCTACTGATACCAGAGAGCAGCATCTGCTTTTTATTTAAGTGAGAGGCCCCGGACTTCCCCCTTCATCTCAGTATTTACAGACCATTGTACTTATTAGTCTGCTTAGTGTCAATAGTGTTTTGTCTCCAGTAATACAGTGATTTAGGAGAGGTAGAGAATAGGGAATGGCCAGTTCCTGAAGCAGCCAGAACACACCTTTATCGGTTGGGTTTGTTGTTTGTTTTATATAGGTGTGGGTGGTTTTGACGTCCGGTGATTTTTCACAGCAGTGCAATTATAGGTTGTCACGACAGGCAGTATACTAATGGCAGATCTTGGAGATAAAGGGACACAAGAGACACACTGCTCAAAGGCAGCAATGGGGACCTGGTTCGGCTAGTGTGGCTGTTGGCCTCTCCTGTGACAAATGCATCTGCCAAGTGCAGCGACACCAGGCGTGCCTGGGACAGACCTTGCTGCCTGATAGGCGCGTCTAGATGTGACTCACGCGTCCAGATGTGACTTGTCATATAACGAGAAGAGGACCGAACCCTTCTGTGACCTGGGTCCCAGAGGTGGGGACCAGCCTCCTCTGCATCTTGTGGTGAGGGAGCCGACACTGAGCAGTCACACAGGAGACACGCCGAGTGATGAGGGTTTTCATTTGATGGAGCCTTTCATACATTGAAATAGTTTTTATTTTATTGTACTTCATTTTCTTTCGTTGATTTGAGCCTACCTACCGAAGGCAGTTTGGATATTAGTAATGTGATTCTTATTTTCACTTTTGTCCAATGTATTTTAATTTATGATTTTATTATATTCATAAATTTATATTATATTATTATTATATTATATTTATAATTTATAAATGCTTTATACTGTTTTGTGAAATATTACACACCTGTAATAGTGTTTGTGAATGGATTGCTATTTCCACTTTGTATATGAAAGCTTGGTGATTGGCAAGGTAAACATATTTGTTCAAAGTGACGTCATTATTGACAGGACTAGAATTTGAGGGCGCTGTTTTCCATTTCAATATCCTAGTAGCATACTGAAGGGAATATGAAATTTTATGTGATTTAAGAACCTTTTCATAGATTCTGATAGTCATTAGAACATGTTAAGACCAGATCGCATTTCCCTTGTTAAGAAATTATTTGCAAGTTTAATTTCAGACCTTTTTTTTTCACGAGGGAAGGTTTTGGGACACGTTCTTACAGTGTAGCTCAGGCTGAACTGTCCATAGCGCCTGAGATTTCAGTCTTCCTCCCCAGCTTCTTGACTGACAGCTGTAGAGGTGCGAGCCACCGAGGAGCGGGGGCAGACTATCGCAGACGGCACATTTCTAATGTGCTGAACATTAGGCTCTTAAGTTCTCCTCGTCTCCTCATGTAATCAGTGATCTTTGTTTAATCCGGTGTGTTGTGTGTGTGTGGTTATCTCTTTTTAAACAGGTCCGGATTGTTCTCTGAATGTTCCTTCTACGGAGTCTTACTGGATTTTGCCAAATGTTAAACCCTTCAGCCCTTCTGTAGGTCGGGCTTCACATAAAGCAGTTTTGCATGGGAAATTTATGTGGGTGATTGGAGGATACACCTTTAACTACAGTTCTTTCCAAATGGTTCTGAAGTAAGTGAATATTTTTAGAGTTTTACAGTTTTTATTGTTCAGATATATAAGCGGGTATTCCTGTGGTAGAACGTACTTGTTAAAATTGTACAGCTATGAGTCATGGAGTTTAGAGCATGCCTCGAGTGACCAGGGATTTAGTTAGAATAAAATCATACGGGGGTGCGTTTTCTACAGAGAAGAGCAAGGACTGAGCCGCGACAGCCGAATCACTAGAAGGTTGAGAGGCAGAGGAGACCAGCAGAGGCGTGGGAAGGAATGAGCAGAGGTCTAGGGAAGCCGCCCAGTGCCGTGTCTTCAGAGGGAAGCCATGCGAGAGTCAAAGCGCCACCCACTTCTCATGATGGCATTGGCTAAGGCGGATGGCATGAATGTGGCCAAGGGTCTGCTGTGAGCATGCTGACCTGAGAGCAGCCTTGTGCAGCGTTGGGGTAAAACGCTTTCTGGAGTTGGTGTAAAAAAGGAAGGGAGGGAGAGGGAGGAGCTGAGGAGCCACAGAGTGATGGCCAGAGCAGACAGGGTCACTGTGCTGTTTTAAATCTTTTCAGACGGGTGCTGATCCAGTAAGACAAAAGGGACACACACACACACACACACAAGCACACACACAGACTGACACACACTCATGCACACTCATCATACACGCGCACTCACACACTCATACACACTCACACACGCTCATCATACATGCTCACACTAACACACTCACACACATGCACACATATTCACTCACACACACTCATCATATACACTCACTCTTATATACACACAAGCACACTCTCACAAACTCGCACACATAATCACATACACTCATCATACACTCACACTCATACACACACGCAACACTAATGCACACACTCACACACTCTCACTCACACTCACTCTCATACACATCAATCATACACACTCACACACTCATTCACACATACTCACACACTTACACACACTCACACACACTCATATACTCAGACTTATACACACGCTTACACACATTCACACACACATTCATACACTCACACTCACTCACACACTTATACACACACACACTCACACACACTCACACAAAAGGGAAGATGGGGAGTCGTTGGAGTGTTGCAGGATCTAGAGCGGTGGGTATGTGAAGCTGGTGTGTAGCTGGGGTCTCTGGTGCGCTCACTGGACTTGGGGACGCTGCTCTCCCTGGAACCTGAGCGCTAAGCACTCCGGATCCGTAGTTTAGAACTTCAGTGTTCACACTCAGTAGACTTCTAGAAGTCACGCTTTTGTGTCACATCATGCAAGACTAGCTTACTTTTGCAAAAACCTGTATATTACTGCATTAACATTGGACATAACTATAGCCAAGAGGGTTATATTTATGCATAGGAAATATGTAGCTCTTGATGAATTTTTTTTAAAGATAAATATGTATACATGATAAGATAAATATTAAAAGGAGATGACTAATGTAAAAAGTCATTTTGTGAAAAGTCATAAATGAAGGGATATTCAAGAAAAACGATTTTATTTTAATTTGAAATTCAGGATCTCATTATTTTTAAGTTCATCGCAATTATTAAATGCAATTACACTAATTCTAGCAATGAATTCTATACTCAAGTTCATGTATCTGTTTTAATTTTTTAAAGTTTAGAGTTTAACGTTTTTGAGTGCTTTGCTTGTGTGTATGTGTGCAAATCGCGTGTGTACCTGGTGCCTGTGGAGGTCAGGATAGAGCATTACACCCCAAGAACTGGAGTTACTGATGTTCCTCTGCCTGGACAAGTACTCTTGACTGCTGAGACCTCTCTCTCTCTCTCTCTCTCTCTCTCTCTCTCTGTCTCTCTCTCTCTCACACACACACACTATATATATATATATATATATATATATATATATATATATTGTATGTTTAAATAATTGAATCTTAAAAGTCAATTTTTTTTTTTGGTCTGGAGCTTTATTGACAGTTTTTAACATGGCCCATGACATTGTTAGTTATACCCCCTTTGAATTTAAGGAGAATTTGCATTCAACTGAAGAAGCACATGCAGAAATTAAAGCACGGGAAAGGAATTTTACCTTACTAATACAGTTTATTTTCTTGTTTATAGTTACAATTTGGAAAGGAGTGTATGGAATGTAGGAGCTGTGTCAAGGGGACCTCTTCAGAGATATGGACACTCTCTTGCTTTGTATCAGGCAAGTCTCATGTTTAAGAGATCTGGTTATTGCCTTAAACGTTTGTGAAGGAAAAAATTCTAGACCTCAGATTTGTTTCGTACACTCAGTGAGAACAGTGGTAAACTGACATTTTTACAACACGCTTTATGTTAGGCGTGCGCAGCAAGGAAGATGGAGGGCTTTGGTTGTTTTTGAGACAGGGATTTGCTAAATATCGCAGGCTGGCCATGAACTGGCTGGCTGGTGACCTCAAGTTTTCAATCCTTCTTCTTTAGTCTCTTCTGTTCTGGGATTATAGTATGTTTACATTAGTCACAAAAACTGAGGTAAAGTGTACCATGAAAAATAAAAACCCAGGGACAGATATTGGGGTTCAAGCTTCAAGCTGAAGATCAGAAAAACAAACAGCTGGCCACTAGCTCTCCCCTGTGCCTCAGGCTGGCTGAAAGGGCTGTCCTGTCCTCAGCATGGCTGGAGAATAGATCTCCCCACCAAGCCTCAGACTACAATCCCAGACTGCTGCCTCTTCTCAAATCCAGGGATTAAAGCCGTGGGATCCCAAGTGTCGAGATCACCTTTGTGTGAGCTGTTTCTCCCTAGGACTGGATCAATTTTGTGTAGCTGAGTGTGGTCTTGAACTAACAGACGGTTGCTTGCCTGTTGAGCCCTGGGATTAAAGGTGTGAGCCACCCCTGCCTGGCTCTGTGGCTTGTGGCTGGCTTTGCTTTCTGTACCTTCAGGCAAGCTTTAATATATCATAAATAGTGTATCACCACAGTAAGTGTGCATCAGTTTATTGTTTGAGTGATATTTAAGTGGTGAGCTCAGTGACTAACTACATTTGCGTTATTATATCATCACCATCATCTTTATAACTGGTTTTTCTTTGAAACCTTGTGAGACCCGACCCCCGCCCCCACTCTGGGGAGCTTGCAGTTTACTTCCTGTCTCTGAGTTTGACTAGTGTAGGTGTGAGATGGGAGTGGAATCAGATGGCCTTTGGTTTTTTTTTTTTTTTTTTTTCTGCTTTATTTTCCTAAGCATAATGTTTCCAAGTCCCGTTCATGTTGCAGCACAAATAATATTTATTTGTACGTGTCCATAACCCCCCCCCCAAAAAAAAATTCCCATGTGTTAATGGGCACACTGTCTACAGCTTTGATAACAGTGTTTCTATTTTTAGATAATAGGCCCTTGGTGATAGCAGAGTGTTACTACTTTATGATTTGTGGTTACCTAACAATTTGTATGGTTGCATATTGTTTTGTTTTTCCTTTTAGAAACATTGTTTTACTATGTTGCTCTTGCTTTGAACTCACAGAGATCTACTGGCTTCTGCCCTAGGATTAAAGGCATGGGCTACTATGACTGGTTATGATACAGTTTTATTGGTTACTTGTGTATCACCTTTGAACATGTGTTTATTTAGTCTCCTGCTATTTTAATATTGGTTTGTTTTTGTCATTAAATTTTAGGAGTTCTTTGTGTGTTAAATTTCCATTTCACCAGAATTATGATTTGTAAATATTTCTCCTTTTCTGTGGTCTGTTCACTCTGTCAGCAGTATTGTTCATTTCTGTGTGTTACTGGAGATTGACCCTAAGGCTTCAGTGCGGATCAGACCAGGGCTCTACCACTGACCACAGCCTTGGGCACAGAACTTAAGTACTTACATGCTAAGCACATGCTGTAACATGAAGTTACATGCCCTGTCAGTCCAGTAGTTCCAGTTTATTATTTCTTTGTTTTTGGTGATGTATGTTAGAAATCATTGCCCAGTCCACAGCATGAAGCTTTTTCTTTATGTTTTATTTATTTCCCTCTAGTTTAAGCACTTTAGATCTTATGTTTGTATCTCTCTTCCACTTTGGGGTTTGGTGTGTGGTGTGATTTAAATGTCCAGTTTCATTCTTCTGCATGTAGGTAAATACTTTCCTGGAACCATTTGGTGGAAATACTGTCCTTTCCCATTAAACTGACTTGCTATCCCAGCCATAAGTCATTTGACCACGTTTGGGAGTTTATCTCTGGGGTCTCTATTCTGCAGTATTGGTCTGTATGTTTGTCCTTCTGCTGTTACCACAGTGCTTTGGATTGTAGTTTTTAAATATTACACTTCATTTTTTCCCCCTATGATTGTTTTGGCTATTAAAGATCACTTAGAAGTTCTATGGATTGTAGTATAGAGTTTCATGTTTTGCAAAAAGCCTATCTATGTATTTACAATTTAGATACTTTAAAATTTTTTTTTATTGCTCAAAATAATGTGTTTCCATAATATATTTTTTTCCTTCGTGTACGTGGGCAGAATAAAGGGCCTATAGGGTGGGAGAGAATCCCTCTCAACTATATATCAGATAAGGCATTAACAGCTAGAGTCTATAAAATTTAAACATATACCCAGAAGTCATATACTCAGTAAACAGGCAAACTAATCGAACAGACAAGTCTCTAAAGAACCACAGGCTGGCATGCTGTGTGCCCATAATCCTGGTACTAGGGAGGTGGCAGGAAGAACCCGAGTTCAGAGCCACCCTTAGCTACGTAGCAACTTTATACTAGTGTGGGATATATGAAGTCCTGTCTTGAAAAACCAAGATTAAAAAAGAAAGAAGAAAAAATAAAGCTAGCTAATAAGTATATGAAATAATGTTCATAATTCTTACTCATCGGGGAAATGAAATTTAAACCATCCTGAGGCCCCATTGTCACCAAGCAAACTCACGAGGGGCTGGAGAGATGCCTCAGTTGGTAAGAGCACTTGTCGCTCTTGGCGAGGACCCCGGTGTGCTTCCCAGTGTCCGCGTGACGGTTTCCAATGATCTGTAGATCTGGTTCTATGGGGTCTGACACTCTTTGGATCTCCATAGGAAACAGGCGTACACGCAGTGTTCATACACACATGCATGTAGGCAAAGCACACACATAAAATCAACTTAAAAGGAAGCAAAGCAGAGGCTAAGGAATGCTGTCAAGACTGTAGAGGGAGAGGGTCCTGTGCGCACTGCTGCTTGGAATGGAGGCTGCCACAGCCACTGTGGAAATCCATATGGAGGCTCCTTAGGAGCTAAAAGTAAAACTGTGAGATAGTGCAGTTACCACTCTTGTTTCTGTCTCTGAAGGGATCGGAGGCAGCATACATCAGAGATGCTTGCGTACCCATGCTCATTGTAGCACTACCCATAAGAGCCAAAACGTGGAGCCAACCTAGAGGCCCACCAACCAACCAAGTGATGGCAGCAAATGGGGTGTACGCATGGCGTTTTGTTCAGCCATGAAGAATGAAATTATTTGTAAAAAAAAGTTAGAACTACACATCATGTTAAGCAAAATTAGCCAAAAGAGAGGGAAAAAATTGCTTGTTTTTCTCAGAGGTGGAATACACACACACACACACACACACACACACACACTTTCTCATACACACTCACGAAGAATAGGAATTTCTGGCTTGGAAAACTCAAAACTGACAGTTACCCTCATGTGATGAGCTCAGTTCCTAGGCAACAAGGAGGGCAGAGGGCAGAGGGCAGGGACCCTTTACCGTGGGCACCTGAAGTTCCCAAGTTCTGGCTCTCCTCACCTCAGCTGCCTACCTACTGTGGCTGTCTCTACCTTGGAGTGGCGGTAAGTTGAGCCCACTTTCTGATGTATGGCTGTTTCTTTTTTAGGTGCCTGGGGTAGATCAATTTTTCAGCAATAGGTTCTCTCTCAACATAGAGCCTGGCCATGGAGAGTCCTTACCTGGGGTGTGGCTCCCCATCAATGCTGACCCATCAAGACGGGGGAGCCACTGTGTCACTATAGCCCCAATTGGACTTGAGGCTTTCACAGAATGTGGGCTGGCGCTGTACGGGCTGGGCCACGGGGGTTTTACCAGGGTTCCTCGCTGGGATGAGCTGTGCCAACACTTTGCCCTCTTACTGTGTGTCTGGTTTTCGGTGTTCTCCTAGTCGTCTTATTTTTCGTTTCCTGGCTCTTCTCATCTACTGCGTCCCAGAGAAGTGGCTTCTCGTTTGCCATCTTACCCACGCAGTCTCTTTGGCAGGCTTTCCCTCTTACATTTATTTAGTCACTTTGTCCATTTTTAATTAATTCCGTGTATGGTGGACAGTGAGGGTTCAGCTCTTGTTTTGCATGTGTGTTTTCTCTCATCATTTATTACAAATTTTATTCTTTCCCCCTTGAATAGTTTTGCCACTTCTGTCACAAACCATTTGACCATGGGGGTATCTGTCCTCCATCAGCGTATCTCTGGACTCTCATGACCATGGACATATTTCTTGACTCTCATGATCATGGGCGTGTCTCTGGACTCCCCATGACTCAGCACATATCTGTCCACCATCAGCATATTTCTGGACTCTCCATTCTGTTGTGCTGTTTTATGCCTGTATCTCCACTTGTTTTGTGTTAAGTTTTAAAAACGTTTCTGTACTTTTACAGACTGTTCTGATTTTCTGCAACCCTTGCTAATAATGCATGTGACTTTTAGAATGACATTTATGCTGCTGCAAAGAAGCTAGTTAGAATTCGGTAAATATTGTGGTGGCTGCATAGACTTTGAGATCTTTGCCATCACATTGGTACATTTTCTGATCCCTAAAGTGGAATATCTTTCCATTCATATTGTTGTAAATTTCACCTGTTTAATAGCTTCACTTTTGAACTCTTCTGTAAATTTTTTTCCTGAAATATTTTTTACTTTTGCTGACTTTGCTTTTGGATAGTTCATTGCAGGTGTGTGGATGTGTTTGCACTTTGTACACTGACCTCATACTACATATAACTGAATTCACTTGCTAACTCTTCATTTCTTAGGATCTTTTATATAGAAGGTGATATAATCCACTCATAGAAGTTGTCTTCCATTCCATTTTATCTGGGCTCTTACTGGTTTTTGCCTGTTTGTCTTAGGTAGACCTTCCAGAAATGATAAAGGAGGCACCCTTATCTTATACTTGGTCTTAGGGGAGGGCATCCCACATTTCACAATTAAGTATAATTTTAGTTTAGTTTTTTTTTCCTTAGACGAGCTTTACCAAAATTGAAGAAATCATCAGTTTAGTTTGTTGAAATAGAGCGGTCTGTACAATTTTTGTGCCATCTATATGAATCATCTGTGAATGGAACTAATTGGGTAATTTATAAGTATTGTAAAGACTTACCTAAGGTGAACTGAAGGTATGTAGTTTTCCCACAGCCATAAATGGTAATAAAATGTACTTAATGTGACATGCAAATGCCCATAGTGACCAGGGCTGGCAAGCAGTGAGTAACTGAGAATAGAGAGAACAATTCGCATAGGTGGTGAAGTTAAAATGTACCTGTCAGGGGCCCAGATCACTCAGATACCGGGAAGACCCCGTCGGTGATGCCAGCCAACTCAACGGTGCGGCTTTTGAGATGTATGCAAGCTGTCCATTGTAGAACCCCCGCACTCTTAAGCATTTAGTTTCTGATGTGTTTGCTGCATTTCTACTCACACATGTTCTCTTCTTATGTAGGACAAGCAGAAGTACATATAGTAAACGATGTAATTTGAGCACTCAACTGAAATGCATTGCAGTGACTTTGATAACTTTTCCTGTAGCAAGAATTCTAGTAGGTCTTAATAATAAAAACCCAGAGACAGATATTGGGGTTCAGACAAGCAAAACAGCCAAGCCATGAGAGAGTTCTTACCTCTACCGAGGCTCAGACCAAAGCGGGGGTCGATCCTGTCCTCAGAGTGGCTGCAGACTGAGGTGCTCTTTACCAAACCCCAGACTGCACTGAGCTCCAGCCTTGTGTCCCTCTCTAGTGTGGGATTAAAGGCGTGTCATCCCAAGTGCTGGGATTAAAGGTGTGAGCTCCGTTTCTCTTTTAGACTGATTCACTCTCATGTAGACCAGGGTGGCCTTGAACTCACAGAGATCTGTCTGTCTGTCTCCTGAGTTGGGATTAAAGTTGTGGCCACCACTGCCAGGTCTTCTATGGCTAACTAGTGACTTAGGTGTGTGTCTAACTAGTGGCTGCATTCTGCATCTCTGCATCTCTGCACTCTGATCTTCAGGCAGGTTTTATTTGTTAGATTACAAACAAAGTATCACTGTATTTCCCCTTTTGTAATAATTGGTGTGTTTCCATTTGCGGCACTCTGTGAGCAGTTACTAAAATGTAGTGTTTAAGTAAGTATAGTCTTTAAAAAAATAATTCATGCCTGTTGCTAAGAAATGAGTGTTTTGTCCACTAATGTATGTCTTTTAACTTAACAGGAAAACATCTTTATGTATGGAGGCAGAATTGAGACAAGAGACGGCAATGTCACTGATGAATTATGGGTTTTTAACATACCCAGTCAGTCCTGGAGTACGAAAACCCCCACTGTCCTAGGGCATGGCCAGCAGTACGCGGTGGAGGGCCACTCGGCACACATTATGGAGCTGGACAGTAGAGACGTTGTCATGATTGTGATATTTGGATATTCTGCAATATACGGTTACACAAGCAGCATACAGGAATACCACATTTGTGAGTTTCGTTATATGTGTCATTTCTTTATGGGTTGGGAGCACTTTTATTTGTAATCTTCTAACTATTTGAAAATGGTGAGTTATTTTAGATTGGACTTATAAAACAGGGACTCTTTTTTTTCCAGTATAATCTTTCTGATTATGGTAGAATTTTGTTCTTTAGTATTTGGGTGTATCTCTTAGCCAGATGAGGGGGAAATGTGACACACTCATTTATGAATATTCTTAAATATGAGACGTTCCAATAGATGGTGCTGTTTCCTTGGATTTTTACCTATGGATCGAAAGCTGAAATTAGCTCTTGTCGTGCTTCATGAGTTTTAGGATTTTCACTTTCCCGTATTGGCCTGTTCAAAGTAGAATCTCCAGGGTGAGCTGCCGGCTCCTAGGGGATCGTTATTAGTGTCAGACTGTGCATGAGTTTCTGGATTATTGTTCTCTTTCCTTTAATTACTTTTTCTAGCCCCCTCCCCATTCCTTAAGACATTTTCACCAAGCAGTACTTTTTTGTTGTTGTTGTTTTTAGTTTGTTCACAGATATTTATCTTGTTGCTATCTAAAGCTAGGGACATACTCATTTCTGGGTCTGCTCACTTATGGAGTCCCGGTTCTTGGCTTTTGTGTTAACACACTTGTGGCCTTACCGACAGCCGGACGGACGGACAGACAGCCAGACTGCTCCCTGCAGGCCACACTAGCAGTGAGAACTTGTGTGGTTCTCACCTGGTGGGGCTCAAGCCCATCATCGAACCCGTGTCTAGAAGCGTCTACAATCCATAAGAGTAGCAAAATTACACTGTGAGGTAGCAGCTGAGGGTCCCCACAGCATAGGGACCTGACTACCGGGTTGCAACATTTGGAGGATGCAGGCCAGCCTCCCTGCAGCCCTTCAGGCTGTTTCCGTGTCCTCCGGACATGGGTGTGGAAGCAGAACACGCCACCTCTACGCCAGTTCAGTCCCCGTGTTACTGCTGTGATAGCCTGGCTGCAGACCTTACCCTGTCGGCCCCACGTCACCTCACCCTGCCCACATTGTCACCTCACCTCACCTCACCTCACCTCACCTCAGCGTTTGCTCTTCAATTCCATCACTGTTTCATTTCCTGGACTTAGATTCTGGCTTGCCGTGTGTGTGCCTGTGCATGTACGCATGCGTGTGCGTGCGTGTGCGTGCGCTTCAGCTTTCTTTTTCATTTATCGCTTCTGTCTTTCTCATCGTGGAAGTGGCAGTGAGTCACGGGTAAACCCTTTATCCACACATCTTTACATGCGCGGGTTCATTGCGGAGAATCACTGGTCTGGTTTGAGGCCCCGGTCCCTGCTATATTGCTGACACTGGGCCTTCACTACGACTCTCGCTGTGTCATGGAGATCACGTAGCTCTGGGTCCACAGGCTCCCCCACCCCCAACTCCATCTGATCATACATAGATGGAGTGATGCTGGGGTGGGCCTGGGTAGTTGCAGGGTTGGTCATTCCGAAAGCTGTTTCATGAATGTATCTGTCTTCTCTAACATGTGCGCTAGTTCAGACAACATGTATTATTTGATAGATTTTTATTTTCAATCAGGACTAACTGTTCGGACTATAGTATACCAATGGAAATTTGGTGAATTAAAAAAAAACCTATACTTTCATTTCCTTTTGGCTTATTCTATAACTAAAATACTAAGTGAATTTATGATAGCATTGTCTTGCTTGACTTTTGTTCTGTGGGCTGCACAAACGTGGTAAGAGTCATGGTGTTTGAGTTTCGTAGGAATAGTCATGGGCATTTGAAAATTCTGTGTGTTGACTATAAGAACGCACGGTAAGATCTTCTACCATATCCAAGTGTGCTTAGGTGCAGACAGTTGGGTGCTTGCACCTTGGGAATCACACAGGACAGTTCACAGAAGGGTGGGCAGGCGTTGCTTAATGATGGCAGAATGGCTGCATTACTGGGCCCCTTCACTGCTGTGCCAGAAAGGAGGAGTCGGCCTGGAGTGGCTAAGAGCCACTGTTTCCGTGGAGGGTCAAGGGTCAGTTCCCAGCAGCCACCTGTTCTGCTGCCGCAGCCAGAGCAGATTATATCCCTGTCCCTAAAGAGCTCTTACCTGCTGCTCCTGCTGGTGCAACCCAACAGTGCTGTGGTTGTCAAGAGAATACTAGAGTTTTAGTGTTTAGGACCAGCACAGGGTGAAGGTTTGTTCAGTTGGCTTAGGTTCAAGAGACTGGCCATGTGACTTTTATGTTTTCTGCGTCACTAATTTATTTCAAGTTTGTTACACAGAAGGCCATAATAAATATTTGCTATATATTTTATTTTATTAAGGACTATTTTTGAATAACGTAAGTACATGTAAGATGCATTTCCCTTTTTTCCCTTATAATCTTAAAAGCTGGATTTTCAGTGTTTTAGAATTCCTGGTAGAAGACCCAGGGCTCTTAGTCTCCCCCAGTCCTCACTGGTATGCCCTCAGCCATGAACCGAGTAAGAGCCCGGTAGCTCTGTCTGCTCATAAAGCTGCTCCTACAGAGTTAACTTGGCGTTCTCGTGACATTTTGTTTGTGTTTTTAATGAGTTCGCTTGGTGGTTTTGTCTACTTGAGTTTCGTGATTTGTTCTCTTCCTGCAGCATCAAACACTTGGCTGGTTCCGGAAACTAAAGGAGCCATTGTGCAAGGTGGATATGGCCACACCAGTGTGTATGATGAAGTCACCAAGTCCATCTATGTCCACGGAGGCTACAAAGCACTGCCGGGCAATAAGTACGGCCTGGTGGACGACCTGTACAAGTATGAGGTCAACACCAAGATCTGGTGAGTACATGAGGTAAAAAAAAGGGTAAGAGGGAGAACATTTCATAACAGCCGTGTGATAGTATTTGTACTGGCTTTTCTCAGACCATATATTTTGTTATTACTCTTTCCCTTCCCCTGCTCCTCCCATACGTCACTACCTCCCTACCCATCATCTTCATGTTCTTTTTCTCCCAGTAAAAAACAAAAGCAAAGCAAGGCACACAACACAAGTGCCAACCCCCACAAATACCCAAACCAAAACCACACACACACACACACATACATACATATACACATACATACACACACACATGCGTGCACACACACACGTGCACGCGCATACACACATACATACATACACACACATGCACGCATACATATACACACACATGCACGCATACATACACACACAGTCACACACGCGCGTGTATGCATACACACATACATACATACACATACATACACACACGGATGCACTCATACACACACACGTGTGCACGCATACACACATACATACATACACACAAACACCCACATACACACACACACCACCCCCACACAGACACACACACATGCACGCCTACATACACACACACACATGCACACATACATACACACACAGTCACACTCACAAACACACATGCACACATATACACACACAGGGATGCACGCATACATATACACACACACAGACACACTCACACATGCGCACATACACACATACATACATACACACACATGCACGCATACATACACACATAGTCACACACACACACCACACAGACACACACACATGCACACATACATATACACACACAGACACACTCACACACATGCACTCATGCACACATACATACACACATAGACACACACACATGCATGCATACATACACACAGTCACTCACACACACATGCACACATATATACACACACATGCACACACACACACCACACAGACACACACACATGCACGCATACATATACACAGACACACATGCACTCATGCACACATACATACACACACAAACACACACATGCGCGTGCACACACACACACACACACAGACAATCATGGAATTCCTTTAGTGTTGGCCTACTTCTCCTGGGCATGGGGCATGCCTAGCGGTGTGGCTGATATATCCAGTGCCACTATATTGGAGGAGACCGATTCTCCATTGCAGAGAGCTTCTTGGTTAGGGGTGGGACCTGGCGCCCACTTCCCCATCCCCTTGCTGTGGCTTTGTCTGGCTTGAACTTGAGCAGGTCTGAGTGTGCTGTCACAGCCCTGTGAGTTCCTGTGAACATTAGCCCTACTGTTTTTATAATAGTGGTCTTTACAGAACGATGTCACAGAAAAGTTTTTGAACCTTAAAAATTTTCATGGTAACATAATATATTGTCATGCAGCCATTGTACAAAATAACAAATTCCCCTATGTATAAACAATGTGATTTCTGATCCCCTAGGAATACCTACAGGTACCTCGAATACATTCATTTTAGATGAATACTTTTGTTTACCATTGTAATCTCAAACTTTGGTATTATTTGTCCAGGATTTGTTCTTATTTATACTTTAATTTTAATATTTATTAGCCTTGCAAAAAGTATTTTTTTTTGTTTTTTTTTCTCATCTAACTTGAAAGAACTATAAAGCTTGTGATGTATTTTTCACTTTTTTTTTTTACCAATACCAGTAGCATAGTTACTATACATGTAACTATGCTATGCACTGTACATATGAGCCTTCTGATGCTCATTTGCAGTAATTGTTCTGAGGTGCATGCATGAAAGCCGACTTTGTAACGTGTTACTGAACTGTGGTTCAGTCCTCTGTAGCACCGGGAGCATCCAACACCGAGGATTACCTTACCTCTGTGTTCTCTGCAGCAGCTGGTAATGAGGCTCCTGCTCCTGCCCATGCACTAGGTAGGGACAGTAGCAGCTCAGTGATACCCCGATGTGGGTTTCCCCAGTTAGTATGGTGACTTTGAACTTTTTTGTGTGTTCATTTTTCTCTTTTTGTTTAGTGTATGACTTATTGGTATCCCTACCATTCTTTTTTTTTTCTAGAAATACTGAGTTTTCCTTTGTCTTTTGTGTTGATAGCTTCGATGTGTGACTTTTATTGTACTTGTTTGCTTTTGGGAGGCCGAGGAGTTACGCTTTCTGTTTTAAGACAGCTGGCATGTCCTCTGGAGCGTTTAAATGCATTTAAGGAGAACTTGTTTATTAGTGATTTGGTGGTTGAGTCCCCTTTCCCCTTCATCCCTCACTGTCTGAGAGGGTTAGGGCTGTGAGACTCCCTGTGGGAAGTGAATAAAGCCAAGTTATCGTGACAAAACATACCAAGTCACAGAGTGGAGCAGCTTGGCCGGCACCGAGGACAGGGGAAATTAGAAAGCTCAGTGAAAACCCTCCACAAGAAGACAGTAGTAAAAACAGAAAGGAGGCGGCAACGAAGGCTGACAAGTGACACTTTTTTCTTGTTGTGTGATGCGTGTGTGTGGTGGGTAGCGGATGTGCACGTGTGCATGTTTGTTATTGTGGAGTGCACATGCATTTGTGCAGTTGCATGTGCACCTGTGTGTGCATGCCTGTGGAGGTTTGAGGTCAGAGCTGAGGTGTCTTCCTCCATTGCCATCTAGCTTAGTCCTTGAGGAAGGGTCTCTCAGTTCAACACAGAGCTGGCTGATACTTCTCGTCTAGCTAGCCCGCTCGCTCCAAGGACCCTTGCTTGGCTTTTTCCTTCCAGGCACTGCCATCCAGGTGGGCTACCACACCTGCCTGGCTTTTACATGGCTTTGGGGACTGAACTCTGCTCATTATCCTTGTGACGTGCCCAGGAAACCCATTACACTCTCCTAGACAACTTCTTAACTGGACATATGGAACCCAGAAGTGTTTGATATCATTCTGTGATTTCATTTTGTTAAGCTACGAGTTTATGACAATGTGGCACATTAAAGGAAGCTCACGTTTTAGTGTTTAATTAACAAACGTTTTTATTTTCACTGTAGGGGAAATGTGGAGACCACTGAGGGTACACTCAAAGGCTGTGTGTTGCGTCCCTGCTTCCCAGGTCGTTAAGTCTGAGTTGTTGACACTTTAAGGGTGGAGGAATAGCAGCGTTCTTTACTATAAGACTCCTTACTTCTCCAGGTTGATTGCTTTATCTTGTTAGTGTGTTCCACTATTTGACACTGCCCTACCCAAGGGCTTCATCTCTGTTTTAAAGGTCTGTTGCCATTATAGCTTTGTTACGTGTGACAGCTCATGATGCCTTTTGTATATCTGCGTATAGACCATATAATAGGAGCTTGTCAACATTTTCATTGTTCTTTTCAAGGCTGTGCGTGTGCATATGTGCATGTGCATGTGTGTGCATATGTGTGTGTATGTGTGTGTGAATGTGCACATGTGTGCATGTGTGTGTGCATGCATAAGTGTGTGCATGCGTAAGTGTGTGCATATGTGTGTGAATGTGCACATGTGTGTGCATGTGTGTGAAAATGTGCACATGTGTGCATGTGTGTGTGAATGTGCACATGTGTGCATGTGTGTGCATTGTATGTGTATGTGTGAATGTGCACATGTGTGCATGTGTGTGCATGTGTAAGTGTGTGCGTGTATGTGTGAATGTGCACATGTATGTGTGTGCATGTGTGCCTGTGTATATGTGTGTGTGAATGTGCACGTGTGTGCATGCGTGTGTGCATGTGCGTGTGCATGTGTGTGCATGTGTAAGTGTGTGTGTATGTGTGAATGTGCACATGTATGTGTGTGCATGTGTGCCTGTGTATATGTGTGTGAATGTGCATGTGTGTGCATGCGTGTGTGCATGCGTGTGTGCTGTGTGTGTGCATGTGTAAGTGTATGGGATAACAGAGACTTAGATTGTGAAAATCTATTTTTCAAATGAGGGGAAAAAGACGGCAGGAATATTTCTGTATACATAAGTGATAAACACAGTAATAACTGTAAGTAATGCTTCCCGATGATTAAGGCCTGGTGCTGCATCAGTTTCTTACCCAAAGCCTTTGAAGTCACGTGCACTTTGGAGAATTCTGCAAGGCTTCTACCTGGTTACATGAAATCGTCTCTTCAGGCTTCGGTTTGACATTATGGAGTTATTTTTGCATTCAAAGCTAATTAAATCACTCAGTTATTTCACTTTACTGTTTTGGTTTTCTCTAAGAAAGTTACCTGTCAGAGATTTTGGAGACAGAACAATTGTGTATTTCCTTTATTAGGTAAATCCCATTTCAGTTAATGCTAATGGCCATGTTTCATGCCTGAATATTGAATGTCTGAAGGCTTTTCATAAATGCCTTATCGAACGGTTACCAACCTGTTTATTAGGTTACAAGACAACCAGAAAAAGTACCGACAACTTGAATTATAAGGAAGTTTATTAATAGCGGTGATGTAAGAAGTGCATCTTTTTTAAGGTTGAGGAATTAGTAATGTTTGTGGACTGAACTAGGAAGGATCAAACGGATGCAGAAAAGGGACGGTTTGCAGGAAGAATATTTGCTAAGGCATCAGCAGCAGGGTGTAGCACCGAGAAAGAGAGGAAACAGGCACTCCGTGTTCCCAGAGATGTGAGAGAGGGCCGGCCGCATGAGCACAGAGCAGGCCTGTGGGTAAGGCCAGGAGAACTTCAGTTATTTTTACTTTCTCAGAGAAACAAGAGTGAAGGGAGTAATGTCGTGTTCGGTTGTACCCAAGCCATATTCCAATTTGGATGTCTGCTCATTCGCCCTCTGACCATCGGTGAATGCGAGTTTCCCCAAGATTCGTTTTTTTGTTTCCGTAGGGGCGAAAATTGTTGCTATATGGGTGTGGGGAATTAAGCCTGGTGTTTGTTCTGATTTATTTATTTATATTTATGTAGTTTTTCTGTGTGTGGGGGGGTAGTGTAGATATGTTCGTGCATGCACACATGCCTGTGCACACGTGTATGCATATATGTGGAGGCCAGAAATTTACATTGAGCTTCTGCCTTATTCTCTATCTT